CCTCTGAACTAACGTCATTTGTGAACGGTCCCTTAGCCTTAAGAGCAATCAAACAATGAAAGTATAAAATCCGGTTCCTAACTAGATCTAGAATCCAAATTTCACATTTGAACAACAACAGCACTTCTAATAAAACTACAACAATAAGAATAACAATATCAGTTATGTAAGTTTATGTAAATTGTTCATGTAATGTAAGCGCATAGAGCCTGCTGTAGAGCGGTGATATGGGCTATACAAATGCTATCTATTATTATTATTAATCTAATTCCGTAGAAATAGCCCTGAAGATCGTCTTTACATGACTGTAAAAATAGCTCCAAGAACCTTCTTTACCGGACCGTAAAAAATAGCCACTGCGTTTTTAAAAACTGTGTGGGATGTACTGAGTCATATAAATTTTATGTGATAAAAGTCTCTCTTTTATAGATTGAGAACTGCACATACGAGAGGTACAATTATGCATTTAATGAATGAATGAATGAATGAATGAATGAATGAATGAATGAATGAATGAATGAATTAATCTATCTATTTATTCATTTATAATATAGTGCACACATGTAACACAGACACGTACACATTAAGTATGGTTACTCTCGGACTTTGATTAGACCCAGGCCAATTAGTTTCCTTTGTCCCCTCTAGTCTTCAGATAACGAGATGCGTGGACGCAAGTACCCGATGTCAAACAACCAGTCGGCCTCTTACCTCCCCCCGTGTAAAGTGTGTGGATCCTCGGGTACAGGCTTCCACTATGGGGTCAATACTTGTGGGGCCTGCAAGGTGGGTCTGTTGTTTTAGTTGGCGTTGGGGGTGTTATTATTGGTGGTATGTTGTTGGTGGTAGGTTTGTTGTTGGTAGTGGTGATGGTTGTATTGCTGTTGGTTGTTGTTGGTGGTGATGGTGGTAGTTTTGTTGTTGGTGGTGGTGATGGTGGTAGGTTTGTTGGTGGTGGTGGTGGTGGTGATGGTGGTAGGTTTGTTGTTGGTGGTGGTGATGGTGGTATTGCTGTTGGTTGTTGGTGGTGGTGATGGTGGTAGGTTTGTTGTTGGTGGTGGTGATGGTGGTAGGTTTGTTGTTGATAGTGGTGATGGTGGTATTGCTGTTGGTTTTTGGTGGTGGTGATGGTGGTAGGTTTGTTGTTAGTAGTGATAGTGGTCATATTGTTGTTGTTGTTGTTGTTGTTGTTGGTAGTGGTGGTGATGATAGTGGTGTGTTGATGATGTTGTTGGGAATGGTGGTACATGTATTATTGTTGTTGTCATCAACGTCGTTGTTGTTGTTATTGTGGTTGTTATTGTGGTTGTTATTGTGGATGTGGCAGTGGTGGTACAATTGCTGTTATTGTTATTGTGATGATGATAGTGGTATTGTTGAAGTGGGGCGTTCAAATATAATCTTACATCTGGAAGGGGGAGGGAGGAGGGTTCTCTTTGGCTCCTGTAAGAAAAGTGTAAGAATGGGGGGAAAGGGGAGGGGGGGGGGGTCTTGAACCAGTGTAATACCGTATTACACTTTTTTCAGTTCGGAGGTGTTGACCATATCAGAATTCCACTGTAATTTTTTCTATTTGTAATTAAGGTGCTTCTGACATTGACATGAGTCTCAATTTTTTCCTTTTAAGTAAGAAAGAGTTATGCAATATTTTGCTGGAATGATTTACTGTTATTTTTAAATGAATGTGGAACTGCATATATTATTATGTTCATGTATGTGTGTATACACCTGTTTTTCATGAATATTATGTTAAGTGCAGAGAACAATGATTGTGACACGAATTTGCGCGATATAAATGTCATATTATTATTATTTTTATACGCAAACAATGTAATATTACAGGATTGATGGGG